GTACAACTTCGTTCTCCTCCTCAACCACCCATGCATTGGTTTTGGAAAAACTGATTTGAAATTGCTAGTAGAACTATTATTGTAATTTTTATTTTAGATGTGTGTTTATGTAAAAAGTAAGGGTTTAGAAGTAAGGGAATAAAAGGAAGGTGAATAAGATAGATCGGAATAAAAACCTGAATAGGACTACAAACTGTGGAAATATTTTGTTTTTATGAATGATAGGGGAGCCTCTGTATACAGGTACCACATTTATTGAGTGTTGTAGAAATTTTAGACACACACACTGACAGGGTCGTTCCAATATGCGTTTTTGCTGCCTGTTGCAGAGCTAGAACATTGAATATCCCTGGCTAGGAGCTCGGAGGAAGACGAGGGCCTGAAATCGTCTGCGTGTTAACATATGCAGTTTGTTTGGCGTTATTGACCCACTGTGAAGAGGAACACAATCGAATTTTGGTAATTAATGAAAACACACTGGAAGTGCCATTTAGATCTCCCAAATAAGCAAACCTGTATGTCCAGTAAACTTGGTAGCTTGCCTGTGTTTCATCCCTGAGCTGTAAGTATACCTGCGTCACAAGTTGTATGCGTATGCGCGTTTGGTTACTTGTTTTCATGCCCTTTTTTCACTAAATTTAATAGTTTAGAAAGTGTGAGTGGATGTTGTGTATATAATTTTTAACTTTGCTCATTTCTATTATGAGAAAATACTAGGCAAGATCTATATGTATATACGTCTTAATGGACCGAAACATTTCTTATCGCTAAAATAATTTTATTAATTTACAAATTTTGTAATTCTCATCTCTTACCTTCACCTTTCTGTTCATCTCTTTTCATCCATTTTTAATATACCTTCCTATTAATATACCTTCTTATTATTACATGTGACTGAATTATTCACGTTGCTGCTGCTTTTTCAGCGTGATCAGGAGGTTGTGAACAGAGAGCTGGCACATGGTATGATGAAGATGAAAGAATTTCAAAAACGCCGTGAAGCCAGT